AGTTAGCAAATATCTCTTTGGAGACAGCTCCAAAGAGGTCATTACGGAAATCCCCCAAGGCCAACTCTACCTCGTCCGCCCTCTTTCCCCTAAAGGCTACTCTGAACTCATCTACAAAGACGCTGTTGCCAGCATCAGGCGCACGGGACAAGAACATCAATACCAGCTGGTTGTCCAGCGAGCGTACGAGGAGGGGGAAGAAGAACTTGCTGAGGACGACGACGACGCAGGCGCTGAGGGTTTAGACAAGGATGAGAAGACTTTTCTCCTGGACCAGAGTCTCCATTTCAGGTCGGAAAAGCGGTCAGCTGGCGAAACAGTCTTAGCCTGGCGCGACCTGAGCGGCGACCCCGGAGACCTCTACGAATTTGTTTGTGACTCTTCAGTCCAAGAAGAAAAGATCCAGACTTTTCTGCTAGCCGCAATCGATTGTCAGTTCGAGAGGAAATACCGAAGATCTGCTCAGAGGGCTACAGACGCTGAACTGCAAGAGTTCTACTTTGACTCAGACGACGCCATCCCGGCCGCGAGCTCAATACCTGCGCTCGACCCCAAACCAACATCCAAAGAAGCAGCGCAGAACATGGCGAAGGATGTCAGAACGCCCACCAAATCAAACCAAACCAAGACAAGAGACGCTGGCCCTACGGAGGCACCCCCTGCAAAATCCGCTCCGCGATCAGGAGAAGTCCTTACCAAGCAGATCGGAGAGCTTCACCTCTTTGACTTCCCAACAGGGACTTTTGTCCTTCAAGATTCATCCGTGGTGGCTGTTGTGACAGATCTTGGGGGCTGGCAATACTGGCTTCAAATAACCAGCTCCACCGGTCGGGAATGGTTAGGCCAAGCCATAGTGCCTGATATCAATCCAGTCTTCAACTTCGACTATCTGTCTGCAATTTTCAACCACTACACCGATGATGGATCTGCCTATTCTTGGTTGCTACGGTTCAAGGATCAGGCCGTTCTTGAAAATTTTCAAGAAGGTGTCATGCAGGCTTTGTGGGAGCAATTGAATGAGACAAAGTGGTCCAAAGTGAAAGACCAGGAACGCGAATACGTACTGGAAGCTTTCAATGATTTGACTATGAACGATGCGAATGAAGGGGAGGAGGAAGTCGACGAAGAAGAAGAAGACGAAGAAGACGAAGGAGACACCCCGCGAAGCGAGCACTATGACGAGGATGAGTCGGAGGATGATGTTGATCTGGACGACAAAGACGGAAATGTCAACTCCCAACTCGCTGTTGGCACTAAAAACGATCGATCCTTTGTCATTCGCGGCTCTAAGATTGGTGTCTTCAAACATCTGCCCAACAAGCATCTGGAATTCACTACAAACATATCCAAGGTTGAGACTCCCAAGGGCAAACTTTTCTCTCCGACCAAGGTCATGCTGCACCAGGAGGATCAGAACATGGTGCTACAAGACCCCAACAACCCCCACTCACTCTATCGCATGGATCTCGAGTATGGCAAGGTTGTGGATGAATGGAAAATCCACGACGACATTGCTGTAAGCAATTTTGCCCCAGAAACGAAATTCTCTCAACGGACGGCTGCACAATCGTTCATTGGTCACAGCAAGAATGCCCTCTTCCGGATCGATCCCCGTGTCTCTGGCAACAAATTGGTCGAAGCACAACTCAAGCAATACCTTTCTAAAAACGACTTTTCTGCAGCCGCCACGACTGAAAAGGGTTATATTGCGCTGGCGTCCAACAAGGGTGATGTCCGACTGTACGACCGTCTCGGAATCAATGCCAAAACCCAGATTCCAGCTCTAGGCGAAGCAATCATCGGCCTCGACGTCAGCGCCGATGGTCGCTGGATTCTGGGGACCTGCAAAACCTACCTCATTTTGATAGACAACCTACAGAAGGACGGCAAAAACGAAGGCAAACTAGGTTTCGAGAAACCCTTCGCAAAGGACTTGAAACCTCAGCCCCGCCGCCTCTGCTTGAACCCCAATCATGCTGCACAATTCCAGCATGAAACAGGCCAACCGATCTCATTCACGCGGGCCCACTTCAACACCGGGCTCGACAGCCAGGAAACCAGCATCATTACCTCCACTGGTCCATTCCTAGTCACCTGGACCCTTAAGAAAGTCCTCGAGGGGAAGAGAGACCCTTATCAGATCAAGCGCTATGCTGCGGAAGTTATGGCCGACAATTTCGAGTTTGGTAGTGATAAGAATGTTATCTTGGCACTACCTAATGAAGTAGATATGGTGAGTCGCAAGAGCTTCAAGAGACCTACCAGGGAAAGCATCATGGGCCCGGCCGTGAGAATATCTGGGGCAGGGATGACACCGCGGAGAAGTGGGAGGCAGAGTCATTTGCGGGATGAGATTGTGAATAGTCCTTATTAAAGTACTGGGGACTGGGAGCGGCGTGGCCGAGAGGCTGATGAGGAGTTTTGCAGTATGCGAGCAATTTCCGAGGTGCAATGGTCTATGTTACCGAGTTGGACAAGGTCGGCCTGGTGGGCTTTGTGATGGAAGATTCTCTTTCTACGTGTTTTTTTCCTTTCCAGGCCTCGAATCGCGATCTCTGTCAATTGATACCCACCTTTTCCAATGCACAAGGTGCGGAATTCGGATACCGGGTAGATGGGAAAGATTCGTCTTTGATTTAGTTGGTTGACCATCATCCCTGTTTTGTCTAGCTGGCTTCGAACCCATCACGTAGTCGAATATACCTTTTCAAGTATTATACATGAGTATGCCTGTGTCTGTCTATCTGGTTTCCGGTCTGTTCGCCCTTTGGATGCATATACACTGCGTGCGAGCTTGTAATCGTCGACAGCAGACGCAGTAGATAGCTTATGTAGACAGATACACATCTTCACTCCCCCAAGGGAGGGATGAACATCAAATTTCTGCAAAGGCGCTGGCTTTGTTGACCCTGTTCCGCCTCGAGGTCGGGTTTCCTGCGCGTCGCTGAGCTGGAACTCGGTATCCTTTCACCCGGCTAGTAGGATGAGGGGATAGTGCACTTGTGCGCTTCGGTCCAATCGATAGTCATGTGTGTGGACTTGACAGAAGTTCCCTCGAAATACTTCATCAAGATGGAAGTCGACGTTCGCGGAGGCAGCGTCGATAACAGTGGACCTTTCTTTGCTGCAGGCTGCCATTTTGTTGGCCGTACTCGTCCTCTGGCTCTGGTTGGATTTCTATATCCAAGCCCGTCGTCTCTAGGTAGCAACTTGCGTTGTTGTCGGTGAATGACCAGTCATTCTTATATTCGGTCTCGAGGAATAAGTGAGGGTGATGCCGTATCCAGTGTGGTGGTAATGATGGACACAGTGTGCCCAGTCCGAGGATGAGGTGTTCTCAGGGTTTCGGAGGTTCAGTACCGAGCAGCAGGTGCTTTGGGAAGAGACGATGTCGCCAAATGGACTCGGAATAACAGCCACAGAGCTCGTTCACCCCGAGTCGCCTGAGTCTCCTTGCTCACTCGGACTCGTTCCCTCCTTTGCGGTCCGCATGACCTTGGCACATCTGGCTCGCAGCTCCTCGACACCACCGACACCATTCCAATTGTCCAACACTTCGGTGATAGCGACATATTCCCGTTCAGCCTCTTCACTTTCTTCCCGGTCAACCATTTGTTGCAGCCGTGTGGGTGCTTCCAAAGCCCACTTAACGATATCCTTTTGTGTTCTCTTCCGCCTGGCCTCGGTCAACTGTGCCGTTCTTTCTCCGTCCGGTACACTTGGACTAATATCTTTTACAACTTTCAACAACACATCTAACTTCTCGCCCAGCAATGCCACACCGTCAAGGCCAGAGCTTTGCTCGCCCTTCTGTCTGGCCAGCACATTTGCCCTCATGTCCTGTTCTTTGTCCTTGTGCATGCCTTTCTGCATCTCCGCAATCGTCCCGACTGCCTTGATCAGCTTGCTGTAATTGTCGTAAACCAGTGCCTTGCGCTCGCCATCGAGCGTCCTGATTTCACTGACCAGCGCACTCTCGGTTTTCAGGATATCACGTAGACTGGCAGTTTTTAAGAGTTCGGAGACGAATGTTTCGGCATCGAAGGATGGGTCGTCCAAGCGTTCTGTGAGGGATGAGGTTGTCTCCGGAATGGCAGTGGAGGTGGTAGCTATCGTGGAGTCGGAGGTCGCGGAGGTTATACTTGCACTGCGGCTTACATCTCGACGCTCTTGAGAAGCTGCTTTGGATTTGAGATTGTAGTAGTCCCGAAGGGCTGCACGATTGCGTCTTTGTGTGCTTGACGGAGGGGCTGCAATCGTGGCAGTCTGCTGTAAGGAGGGAGAGGGAGAGGATGCATTGTTCCTGGCGAGATCGATGGACGGACGAACTGAAGACGAAGGTGTCCCACCTGGGCTGGGAATTGAGGGAGACGTTATCCTCTGAATGGTGTTCGCTGGAGAGTCGCTACGAGACGGGGCAATGGTAGCCATAATGCAGCTCAGGTGGGCACCAACGACGACACGCTCTGCTACATTTTGCAGTCTGTCAATGAGGTGGAAGGCGGTGATGGTGGTGAAATCAACACTTGTATTATTAGCGCCGGCTAACCTCCCCTGGCCCACTTGAGCGCAGCCTAGTTTAGATATTACTTGGTGCATGTGAGAATCGCGAGGCTGCGGGGCGTGGGGCCCATCAGCGTCCTCGGTCCATCCATGTCGATCAGCACTTCATATCATACTTTCTTTTCGCTGATAACACGAGTACCTCATACACCACCACGATATCTGCGACGATAGGGAAGGATCATAGATGAAAGCCAACCACAAACCGCAACGGGCCTGTGACCGCTGCCATGCAATCAAGGAATGTTGTCGCCGTTGGAATGGCTCCCCCGCCTGTGAGAGATGCTTGAGACTAGGGCGTGTCTGCGAAACCCGCCGAAAGTTGAATCGACCTGGCCGCAAGCCTCCACCACGGAGGGCGTCTTCATCAACATCAGCAATTGAGCAGCAGGATCCCATATCTTTAAGTCCCGTTGCCTGTTCTAAAAACGTCTTCAATGGGCCTGATTCCGAGAAAAATGTCCAATGTCGACTACACGCTGTACCCCGGGACTTGTCTGCCTTTCACAGCTTGACACCCTCCGACCAACAGTCTCTGGAAGTTATATTAGACAAGGACAGATTCTTCGCACGGTTCGTTCTGGGCCCGACGTTTGCAGACGAGCATTTTCGTGCCCTTGCCACGCGACTTTATGCTGCCATGCCGTTGCTCAAAGATGCTTTTCTGGCATGCGCTGGCATTTGTGCAGACAATCCAGCTCCAGGTGCAACGCGTCTCAATGTGACCTACTATTATCACAAAGCCACCTCAGCTCTCAGCACGTTTCGGTCCTTTCAGATCTCCAGTTCACAAGATAGATCTCTCTATTTGAGCCTCGCCTTGGCTGTTTCGACCTTCAACATCTTCGTGGTTGGTGGCAGCGCCTTCCGCCTCTGCAGATACACGCTCCCTGCGCTGGAGTCTCTCAATGGTGGCCACGCAGAGATCGACAACGATGATCTCGCTTTCCTGATCTGCATACTTCATATTGAACTCGAGGGGTGTCTGTTTCGGCATCAGGTGCCTAGTTTTCGATTCCGAAACCGGGCAGAAGGCTTGACAAACCGCTATCTAGGATTGTCAGCACCACTGCTCTCCTACGGCTACGACCTTTGCCTCCTGTCCACCAAGCTTTGCAATCCCGACGAAGACAGCCATCAGAGCTTTTTGATGCAACTCCAGTCTCTGGAAGCCAAGATATCTGACTGGCGACCCACGTACCCAACGGACTTCTTGAGCCGATATTCTCAGGGTGAGGTGGCGCATATGCTTTCACAGGCACACATCTTTCGTCAGAGCCTATTGTTGATTGCTCATCGACTCCGACATCCCTTTGGCACATGTATGAATCGCTCCAAAGCCCTGTCCGACATGATCCTCGATCAGTTTGACTCGATCTCTAGTCTGGTCAACAGGACGGTCGTGTCAATGGATTTTGCCCTTCTCGTGGCAGCTTTCGAAGTTCGCGATCCAGCGAAACGCCAGAATGTTCTGGACAAGGTCACCTTATTCCAAGATCTCCCATTTACGTACCAGGTCCGGTTGAAGTCAATCATGACGACTTTCTGGCGAACAGTGGATGAGAAACCTGGACTGTTCTGGTTTGATCTACACAGATACCTGGCCCCGTATTTGGATTGAGGAGGCATACAAGACTACTTGAGTTGCGCATCACTCTGGACAGGGAAGTTTGTCTGTCATGGGCCGGCTTTTGCGGTGACAAGTATTCGCCTTGCGCGCACAGTGCTTTTTTGAAGCCGTCAGACGGCCAGACATCTAGCAGCAGGCAGAGGTAAAGATTCTTCTACTTATTGTTGGGTCAATCGAAAGGTATAAGAGACGCCACAGTCAATTCTTCTTCATATACCTCGGGCAGAAAAGGTAAGGCTAGAAATTCTACTCGGCGACCAGCTCTTAGGTCCTGCCACCGGCGCGACATGACCATTTCTGCTGGATTTCATCTGAGTCCGTCCAACGTGGGCGAGTTCAAAATCGCTCGGCGCTCTTGCACATGGCTCGATGTTGGTGTCCTGTACTCGATGGTTTCCACCAGCAGCTGTTGGATATGTATGTCCAGGAGCAACGAGCAGGAGCAGCAAAATGGACAATCCTGCCGTTCAGAAACGAAGGTGAATCAAAGTCCAGACTGAGGATTGTTGGTGATGTCCAAAATGGAAGAGAATCCTCTGAGCCGTAGGATGAGTATCACTTATTAAGTGAGTGTAGTATACAGGGTCCTACCACTTTGGCGCTCTGCATGAATCATTTGACGAGGTTGTTCGAAGGCGATGGTGATGGTCGATCTTTCGAAAGGATAGAATAGAAGGCCATTAAGGCCATTTCGTATTCTGCGGTTTGCATTCTGCCAGCGAGGCTGACCACGTGACCCTAAGGATGGGTTGACGCGCCTGTTGATTGCCTGCGACCGCCGCTCAAAGCATCTGCATACACAACCCGCCATTTGCATACACAGTCTTTCCATCTTCCCCGTCTTTTCTCGCGTTCACACACTCCGGAAGACGGTTCTCATTCGACACCTCTCTTTCTTCCTTCCACTTCGGTACCGCCATGTCTAAACACAACGATCCGGAGGCCATCTCCAATTTCCTCGCAGAACAACGAGATGAAGCACCCACAGAACTTCAACACCTCTTCCTCACATTCGAGGACCTCTGGGAACGTAAACTATGGCATCAACTGACGGATACTCTTCTGGAGTACTTCTCGAACCCAGAGAGCACTTCTCAGAGATTACCCATCTACAACACATTCATCATCAGTTTCGCAGACAAGATCAATCAGCTCAAACTTGTCAAGTTGGCACTGAGCGCCTCGGCGCAAATCAAGGGTAAGTCCTAGAACTCTCTCACTGGGAACAAAAGCCTAATCTTCCAACAGATGACACAGAGCGGAGTCAATTTCTCAAAACTCTCGCCGATCGAGTTGCCAAACCAGATTCCGAAGAAGCCCACGTCTACACAATCACCGAGCTGGCCAGTGTTTATCTGAGATTAGGAGAGGCGGCAAAAGCAAAGGAACAACTAGAGAAGGCGCAAAAGACTTTGGACCAGTTCGATTTCGTGGAAACTGTTGTCCACGCGGCCTTCTACCGAGTCAACGCCGACTATTTCCAAGCTGCGAACGACTACACATCCTACTACAGAAACTCATTATTGTATCTTGCATGCATAGATGAGACAGAATTGAACACCGAGCAACGACAGCATAGAGCATACAATCTGGCCATCGCCGCACTGGTGTCGGACCAGATCTACAACTTCGGGGAGCTGCTACTGCATCCCATCCTTGACGTTCTGAAACCTCCGCATGCTCAGTCATGGCTGCGGGACCTCCTCTTCGCCTTCAATCGAGGAGATCTCGCTACATTCGATCGGATGTCCAATAACCTCAGCAAGGACCCCATCCTCGACTCGCATCGATTGTTCCTCTGGCAGAAGATCAACTTGGCTGCGTTGACAGAGCTGGTGTTTAAGCGACCACCGCACGACCGTGCCATGACATTCAAGACCATCAGCCAAGAGACAAATGTGAAGCCCGATGAAATTGAGCATCTGATCATGAAGGCGCTTAGCTTGGGGCTTTTGCGAGGCAAGATTGACCAGGTCGCGCAGATTGCGAGGATCAATTGGGTACAGCCTAAAGTACTGGAACGGAATCAAATTGAGGGCATGAGGCAGCGACTTAAGGAGTGGGACAGCAATGTCAATGAATTGGGCCACTGGATAGAGGGCGTCGGGAAGGACGTTTGGGCGGCATAGCCATCATCCATCACAAACGTGTGAGAACGACACGAGGGGTGGCGTGGCGTTTCAAGACATCAAAGCAGCGGTTAGACGGCCGATGGATAAGGCTCCGTTGAGAGCCAAAAAGCAACCACTGTAGGATTAGCCATTGAGGATAACATCCAGTAATTATGACTTGGTGCCTAGTATTTTGTTTCCACGATCCAGAATGCGCTGGTACTGCACGAGTATCGTAGTCAAGTGGTACGAGGACGAGGCTGAGGCTGAGGTTGAGGTTGGCGAGGCTGAAGCTAGGCCGGGCTCTTTGGGTCCAAGAAGCTCTCCACCAACTTCTCCGACTCCGAATTCAATGCACCCTAAAATTTTGGACATCGAGTCGACAGCGCATCGAGGGAGCTCTTTTGTTCCCCATTCTTTCTACGGCGAACAATTCGATCAGCATTACTTTACGACCTGCCCTCCGATCCTGCGAGCGATTCAATTACGTTTGGGGGCTTCCCATTCTCCTGCTCGCGTGGGTTTGAAAAAAGTGTTCCGTGTAAACCGCGGATCGTTCACATCATGAACTGCTCCTCTTCTGCGACGGTGCTCGCGCGGCGTGCCTCTGCCTGTGCTAGTCGGGCGAGGACTCTAGCGTCGTCGTCATCGCAGTCGTCTGCACACTCGGCCGCTCTCACGTCGTCGCCGTCACTAGCTGCTCGTCGAGGAGGAGCCACTCGCGGTTTATCACAATGTCGTCGAGTCTCTGTGCAGCAACAGCGAGCATTCTCATCGACATATCTGAAGCACCAAGCACAGCCTGTCACTGACCTCCCGCCGTCATCCTCGGAGGGACTCGACGCCTCGATCCTGGGCAAAGCCAGCGATGACGGAGCGAACGTTGCCCCGAGCATCCTCTCACGAGCGTCGACGGATCCCGACCTGAAAAGATCGTCTACCTCCTCCATCCCTCAGAGCTCATCACAAACACAAATACCACAATCATCGCCGCCGGCACCATCGGCTTCATCCTGGGACCCGTCGCTGATTTACTCCTCCTCCTCATCATCATCATCATCCACCTCGCACGAGATCCCCGACGCGGACGCAGAATTCCTATCCACCTCGCCCACGCTGATAGGGACGGTGACGCGGGTTGGGACGATGCAAAAGACGGTGCGGGTGACGCGGCACATACAGGTGTGGCACGCGCACTTCCAGAAACACTTTACGCGGCCGACGCACAGCCTGGTGCACGACCCGCACAACCTGCTGCTCGAGGGCGACGTGGTGCGGTTCGGCGCGTTCCCGCCCTCGATGCGGCAGCAGAGAGACCGCCGCGGCCAGGTCGTCGTCAAAAGGCACCGGCCGCGAGACCGCAACGGCATGGTCAAGGAGCAGGGCGTGCGGTACATTGTCCGCGAGGTCCTCAGCCCCTTTGGCGTGCCCGTCGCTCAGAGACAGCCTAGGGTCGTGGGCAGCGAGAAGGGCAGGTGGGCCGGCACCGAGGGCGAGACCAAGAAGTTGGCGGTGAGACAGAAGGGAAGGAGGAATGCAAAGGCCAGCGGCAGCAGCAAGAAGAACCAGCCGAAAGCAAACCAAAGCGCCAACGTCGTGGAGGGAGAACGGCTCTCGTAAAGAGGGAGATCGAGAGAGGCACCGGTTTAACCTACCTCCGAAAAAGGGACGAAGCGGCCACTGCAGCACGAGCGGAACCAAACACTGTTCACTGTCCCCTGCTACCACTACTACTTCTGCACATGTATATGGCTAATGTTGATTGGGGCCAAATCAATCAATCAAACAATCAAGCCATCCGTTTCAAGATCAAATATCCAAGACACTTACACGTACTTACAATGTGACAATATCAAATTTTCAAGGAGCACAGAAAGAAAGAAAAAGGCTGGCTGGATGAAAGGCACGCATAGCTGGTCAGCCGAACTCTTCTCTTTTCCGATTATACGGGTCGAGGAGGGATCAACTTGTGTCTACCTGGTAAACAGTCAAAAGACTATGCACTGTACATAGACAGAGGGTGTACTACTGTGGTAGCTGATCAGAAAGCGAATGCAATGTCTATTCATGTGTCAAGCCACGACAAGACTCGATTGCCCAGGTACTATTGAGATACTCGCAACAATGGATGAATTCATTGCCCGTCTATGGTTCCCCTCAGCGCCTTGCCCTGTCTTTCTGTGTTGCTTTGGCCCTTTGTCTAAAGTACTACCGCATGACTGTAATTAATGTAACGGGAAGAGCTCACGGGAGAACTCTACCACATGACCTCATATCCTTTCGTTGCCACACATTATCGAGCTTCATCCCTTCATATCATATCGTCGCTGACTTTTCTTTTGAGATTCCATCAGCAGCCGCGACATCATCTCTCGATGCTGGGTGGCCATCGATTTCGACGTCTGCTTTCGTGGTTGGCTGGGACGGTTGAGATGCTGGCTTCGACTGTGACTCCCCATCTCTGTTCTCCGAAGGCGGTTGTTGAGACGGCGATTTTATCAGGGATGCTCGCCGTAACTTCAACTTCTTCTCTCCTTGGGCGGATATTCTGGTTAATTCGGCGACGAAAGATTGACCCCAGAAAGCACTTGAGACTTTCGTTAGACATGCTGACGAGCAACAACTGGATACAAGACTGTGGAATAACTCACCTGGTGTACTTGAACACATATTTGTGGAGCTTGGCATAGTTGATAGCACGGTGTTCTGGACTCATGGTTACCGCCTCCTGTATGGCACTTGCCAGTTCCTCGGTGTTCCAGGGGTTCACCAAGATACTCCCGTTCAAGCTCTGTGCGGCACCGGCGAATTCCGAGAGTATCAGAACGCCTTTGCGCTGTTCCTGAGAGGCTATGTACTCAAATGATACCAGGTTCATGCCGTCTCGTGTCGAGGAGACAAGACAAACATCTGAGACGGCATAAAGGGCGATAAGCTCGTCGAAGTTGACCGATTTGTGCATGAAGTGGATGGGCATGAACTCGACCGTGCCTGGGGTTGTCAGCAAGCCAGACTCTGGGTGAACCTGGATAGACTTGGAAGCAACTTACCAAATTTTCCGTTGATGCGTCCCACCAACTCGTTGACGACTGCCCGGAGATTCTGATACTCCTCAACGTCCTGTCTGCTGGGCACGGCGACTTGGACTAAAACCACCTTGCCAATCCATTCGGGGTGGTCTGTAAGGAAAACTTCGAGGGCATGAAGTTTCTGGGGAACACCCTTGATGTAGTCGAGCCGATCTACACCAACAATCAACTTGACGCCCTTGAATTTTTCCTCCAGCACAGCAATGCGCTTTTGAACCTTCTCTTTCTTCAGGCCTTCGGTGAACTTCTCCGGGTCGATGCCAATCGGGAAAGCACCGACTGTGACAACTTTGCCCTCAAATTCGACCCCGTTGGGCGTGGTGGTGAGGTTCAAGATCCGCGAACAGCTGCTAAGGAAGTGTCGAGCGTAGTCGTAGGTGTGGAAGCCAATCAGATCACAGTGTAGAACCCCCAACAGGATTTCATTTCGCACGGGCAGAATCCTGTATATCTCACTCGATGGGAAGGGGGTATGTAGGAAGAACCCAATCTTGACGTTGGATTTGGTGGACCCGATCTCTTCGCGAAGCATCTGGGGTAAGAGCATCAGGTGGTAGTCATGGACCCAGACAAGATCGCCATCCTCGACTTCTTTGGCAATGGCCCGAGCGAAGAGACGGTTGACTTCTGAGTAAGCATTCCAAGCCGACTCATCGAATGTGATTTCACCAGGATGGTAGTGGAAGAGCGGCCACATGATAGAATCTAGAGTTTGTTAGCTGGACTTGTCGTTAATAACGAGTACTATGGGGAGCTGTACTTGAAAATCCATTGTAGTGGCGATCAGCCAACTCGTCGTCCACGAAAACGGGAATAGCATCGAACTCATCCTTCAGTCGCTTGACCACGCCGCCAGCCTCGTCTTCAGGGACTTCGAGTCCTGGCCAGCCATACCACTGAAACTTGGTGCTCTTGGCTAAGCCACTTAGACCTGTGACAAGACCTCCTGAAGACATAGAGAAATCATATTTCCCTTCGGGGGAGCGCTTGATGGTGATTGGAAGACGGTTGGAGACCAGGAGAAGTCGTGATTCCACCTTCGACGGGCTGTCGTTCACGGATGGCATGTCTGCAACGGAATTTGTCCAGGTTGCCGCAGAAGCCCCTCAATGTTTTGACTTGTCAGAGCTGACTCAGAACGAGTTCGGAAGATGATCAGATGGAGGATGTGAGGGAAGGGTCAAGGTACGAAGCCAGGTGAGAATGCTGGTGGGTGAACGGGTGACGGTGGGGTATTGGTGGGAGTTGTGAAATGACCTCAGCCACCTTGGTGTGTGATCTGGTGTTGTTGCAGACTGGAGAGGTGGAAAAGAAGTTGAGATGACTGTAAAGGCAGAGATGTCAACTTGACAAGTGGATGGATTGCAATAAGTTTGTTTGGTGCTGGGAGGATGAATTCCTGCCCAATGCCCAATGCTTTCTGTCAAGCCAGTCAAAACGCAATCGAGATGCAGGTGCAAACAGATGAATTGAGGAAGGCGTGATCCGTATTCGCTAGTAACGTCGGCTGTTCGTCACTTCCCAAGCGTCACTTCTGAGTTCCACGGGAATCGGTACTCGGTGGCGTGGTGTGAAGATCTGTAACGGCGTCTTGATGTTTATTTGTCAACTAGGAGAAGCTTTGGAGAGGTCAAGGAGTTGAAGTCGTTGTCGAGGTGCGAGGGTCAATGAGGAGGGCCAAGTGACACAAGAGGCATGTGAGAGGGTGCGATGGACACGGTCCGGTCAAGTGAGGCTCATCTTCGGGAGAAGGAAAAATTCGATGGGGACGAAGATGGGGATGTTTCTGGCGCTTTCTTGGGTTTCGCAATGAGGTACAGTCTCGTTTGATTTCATTTGATGTTGATAATAATAATACCGACAGGAAGAAGAAACAAGTAATTTACCTACTGTTCTTGTAGTAGTACGTCAGTACGGGTTTCGGATCAG